ACCGACTGAGCCAGCCAGGCTCCAGACCTGGCTCGTGATGGCTTGGAACCTGCTTACCCAGAAAGCCGGGAGAAAGTGGCCACGGCTCAAGGCACGTACTGAGTAAAGTGTGTTTCAAACTCGGGGGAGAGTTTTTGACCCCCACAAGCATCACACACATAATGCAATTTTCCAAAATCAGGTTTCGCGCGTCAAGGCAGAGGCGGGGCTTTGAAATAGTGCAGTGAAGTCACGAAGAGAGAACAGTACTCCATTCCCCATTATTAATCCCATCCTTCTAGAAACTTCCCCAAGCGATGCTGTGTGGCACATTGAGCATCGTCGTCGTCATGATAATAGGGAACGCGTACGAGGCGCTCAGGTTCGTTGTCTCATTCGTTGCTCAGCACACGGCTCATCCCATGGCCCCAACCAGGCCGGGGGGGGGGGGGGGTGAAGCCCTGCTCCTCAGCGAGCACTCAGGTGAGAGGCCGCCGCCTTCTGGAAGCCTCCTGGCGCGTCAGCACGTCCGCAGACCTGTCCGGCTTGCTCACCGCTGACTCGCCAGTGTCAGACAAGCCCCGTCGTTCCCCTCTGGCCTGTGGACGTGGCCTCTGGGGCCCCAAGAAGCTACATGCCCGGGCTGCGGGGGACGACCGAGAAGCCAGCGCCACACGGAGGCCTTATACGGCTCTTCTGATCTCGTCGGGAGGAGGAGACCCACACATTCACTCCACAAATATTTATAGAGCACCGACCTGTCTGATGTCGGCGGTTCAGCGGCGAATGAGCCCGACGGGTCCCGGGGTGTGTGATTCAGCAGTGACCCTGGAGCTGAGTCTTTACCGAAAGAGCAGACGTGAATGTGCCTGGCCTGGGCCAGGCGGGGCGGGGCGGGGGGGCAGGTCGGGGCCTTGGGATGAGCTGTGGGAACAGCATGTGCAGGAGGGAAGAGCTTGGCGCCTCTCGCGGCTGACTGCTGACAAGCCCAGCGCGGAGATTCATCTTCCTGGCAGGCTTTCCCAAACACGGCGGAGGCAGCCCCCGAGGGTGACGCACGGAATCCGGAGCAAGCCCTCTTTCTCTCAGTGGCTCCTGAGAGGCGGGTTTGGGGGGGCGGCCTTGCCCGGGAGGTGACCGTGAGGGCACCCCGTTGCTGGATCGGGAACACAAGGGTCTGCTGATCCCCTACAGGTGCACAGAGCCCTGGCGGGGTGGCGTGTGGGTTTCAGGGCCGCTCCCGCGGCCGCAGCCGTGTGTTGGGCCTGGGTGGCTCAGTCCGTTAAGCTTCTGACTTCAGCTCCGGTCATGATCTCGCGGTTCGCGAGTTCGAGCCCCAAGTGGGGCTCTGGGCTGCCGGCTCTGAGCCTGGAGCCCGCTTTGGATTCTGTGTCTCCCCCTCTCTCTCTCTGCTCCTCCCCCACTCGCCCTCTGTCTCTCTCAAAAATAAATAAAAACATTAAGGAAAAAAAAAAAGGAAGTTCCCCCAAGCTTTCAGAAAGCTGGTTGTCACGGCTTGGCTCCCTCCCTAACTGGCTGCCTCACAGACACCCGGCAGGGTCTCCCGGACTCGGTTTTACTTTCTGTAAAGGGGGGTGGGAAACAGCCACCTCCCTGACACGGACTCCAGGTGCATTTAAGAGCTCCGGGCAGGGGCGCCTGGGTGGCGCAGTCGGTTAAGCGTCCGACTTCGGCCGGGTCACGATCTCGTGGTCCGTGAGTTCGAGCCCCGCGTCGGGCTCTGGGCTGATGGCTCAGAGCCTGGAGCCTGTTTCTGATTCTGTGTCTTCCTCTCTCTCTGCCCCTCCCCCGTTCATGCTCTGTCTCTCTCTGTCCCAAAAAAATAAATAAACGTTAAAAAAAAAAGAGCTCCGGGCAGTGTTGTGGGAATTTGATCCCTGCGACTTCCCTCTGCCAGGCTGGGGTCTTGCCGTCCGTCTCCCTCCCCGCCTCCCCCGCTGGCCTGACATCCGGTATGTTCTCGTGAGACCTCGGTGCCACTCTTACTCGTACCCTCACGGGCTTGGTTCTGCGACTGCGGCAAGGGAGAGCCGTAGCTTCCGGAGGGTGCTTCTGCTGGGCTGGGCAGCCGTCCCCAACGCGTGGCTCAAGCCGTGGGAACAGGCCAGGGATGACAGAATGGAGCAGAACTTTTCTAGAAACAAGGTTTGCCCTTAGCAACCCCAGGAGAATCAGGGGTCCGGATCAGAGAGCATCTGTCCGTGCCAGGGGGTCGGAGGTCAGCTTGGCACGGGGCCATCAAGGGCACATTGGCAGATGGAGGTTGGCTGGCCACCAGAGCTGGTGATGGAGGTGCATTTTGGTGAAGGGTCACCGTGATGTAAAGGTTTTAGTCCCCTGGGGGGTGACACATGGGCGCCTTCTCATGGCCAGGAACCACCGTCAGACCCAGAGGCCAGTGGAAAGAGGGTTGTAAGTTGAGGCTGGGCTGTCGCGGGGCCTGTCCCTGGCAGGGTGGGGCCGGAAACTCCTCCAGGAAGCCCACCCTCGGGGAGACAGGGCAGCGCAAGGGAAGGGTTGTGTCCCAAGCCCACGGTGTCTGCTCCCCTGTTGTGTGACTTTGGGTACTTCTGAAACCGCAGAGGCCTCAGTCTCCTCCCCTGTGAAATGGGCGCAGTAGAGCCCAAACCCCTGGCTCATCGGGTGGGTAAGACGAGTCGTCGAGAGGTAGGTCTCATCAGCGTCAGCCTCCTGGGTCGGTCGGGGAGCACGCCTGTCACCGGGAAGCTGCAAGCAGCCTTGGACAGCGCATGTGTCTCGTTTGAAAAACTGGTTTAATTTTTTGATTGTGGGTGGGAGACTCAGTTGTGATTTCAGCTGTCGGGGCCGCGGAGGCCAGATGCCGCGCACGGGCCCCGGGAAGTGGGGCTCGGCCTCCTGATTTCCGTGCCCCCCTTGCCTCCTTCCGTGCAGCGGCCGGCGGGAAATCAGGAACGCAGTCCCCTTCATGCATTTATTGCCTGGTGCACACGTGTGAGGTTGCCACAGCGGCCGTGACCAGGACTCACCGGCCAGCGGCTCCAACAACAGTTCTCGCGTTCTGGAGGCTCGGGGTCCGAGGCCCCGGTGTGGGCCGGGTGGGTTTCTCCCGGGGCCTCTCTCCGTGGCTGTCTGCTTCCTCATTCCTTCTCTTATGATGACAGCAGTCAGATTGGGTCAGGGTCCGCCTAGTGACCTCATCTTAACTTCATGACCTCTTTATAGGCCCTGCCTCCGAGCACAGCCACACTCTGAGGTGCTAGGGGCCTCAGCCTGTGGGTCTGGGGACAGCGCCACAGCCCTGCTGTCCCTGTGGTTCCCCTGCAGCACAGGCTTTGCTGGAGCATCAGGACCCGGGCCTTGCCCCTCCCCAGTGGGGACCCCCAGGCCCCCCGAGCTCTGCCAAGGCCCAAACACCTTCAGAACCAACAGTGCCCTGGGCATGCTGCCCACGAGGTGCTGTGAGTGGCCCAACCTGGGGCAAGTCTGCGTCTCCCAGGCACGGATTCTCATGGGGGCCAGGCAGAGAAGGACCAGCCTATGAGCCCTGGGCACAGGAGGCCCCATTCTTTTTTTTTTTTTCTTTTTCTTTTTCTTTAATGTGTATTTATTTTTGAGAGATAGAGTGTCAGCAGGGGAAGGGCAGAGAGAGAGGGAGACACCGAATGCGAAGCGGGCTCCAGGCTGCGAGCTGTCAGCGCAGAGCCTGATGCAGGGGTTGAGGTCATGAACCGTGAGATCCTGACCTGAGCCAAAGTCGGATGCTCCACTGACTGAGCCACCCAGGCTCCCCGCTACAACTTACTTATCTAACCCGACGTCATATTTGGGATTTGTTTATGCTGACGCTCACATGGCCATGGGTCGTTCCTTTTGCCCTGCTGTGTGATCCTGGGGCCCAGTGCCCCACGGTGTGTTTACCTGTCCCCGTGTGGGAGTCATTTGAGTGGGGCCCCCAGGTGATTTGACCCTACCCGGGCTTCGGGCGAGTCACGGTTGATTCATACGAGCAATTCACGCCTCGCGCCTGCGGGGGCGCCCTGGCCCTCGAGCTGCCGGGGCGCACAGACCCGGTGCGGTCGTGACGCCCGGTGGGCGCTCTGTGACGTCGGTCTCTGCTCTCACTCCGTCTCCGATGGCAGTCTCCAGGGTCAGCGTCTTGGCATCTCTGTCAGCCGGCCTTCTGCAGCTGGGAAATGTTCATATATGGTGACGCCACTAACCCGGGAGACAGGTCGGGACCCCGGGGGTCTGCGTTACTGGACTGACGTGCCGTCCGGTCTCCGGGGCTCTGCCCCAGAGGGAACTCCCTGGGAGCGAAAGATCCAGAGAGAGCCGGGCCTCCCTGCCGGATGGTGGCTATTTTTGTCTGCAGCAAGGCTCGGTCAGGACCCTGGAGAGTTTCCAGGGTCAGAGTGGGAACTGCCCCGTTCCCATGGCTCCTGGGTTCCAGGCTGTGCCTCCCGTCCCTCCCTGCCCCCTGCGTCGTGCCCCTGGCAGAGCCAGACAACCCGATGGGTGAGAACTGGTTACTGCTCATGTCGGGGGAGACCAGAGGAGGCTTGAGGCAAGGGCGGAGCCTCTCGGGGTCCGGGGCGGCTCGGCGTCCCTCACGCTGTCCGCCCCGCCGGGGGCGACTGTGGGTTTCCTCGCCTCTGTCCCCAGCCCGAGTGGGCGCTCCCTGAGGCGACACACAGTGTCCTCTCCATCTTTGCGTCCCGGGGTCTGGCGCAGAGATCGATGCCCAGTAAAGGTCCCAGTCACTGACCGACTCTGCCCGGTGAGCAAACACACACCCTCCAGCCCTGCCTTGTCCCCTCGGACCGGACGACAAGCCAGGACGAGGATCACGGTCTGTGGGGGGGGCGGGGATCCTTGGGGATTGAGCCTCCGCGAGCCTCGGTTTTCACGTCTGCAGGGCGGGGCGAGCGATGGCTGTCCTGCTCTCTGCCCCGTTCGAGCCCGCGCTGTCGCTGGTCTCATACTGACTAACGTCCCTCTTGCCCTCCACTTCCCTTCAGAGCTCTCGCGCCCCAGCACCGCCTCGGGAGCCCAGCCCGCCTCGTCGCCCCGGTCCCCGCTGCCTGCCCGGCGCCATGAGCTGCGTCCTGAACGGCGTCGTGCCCTTGGGGCTGCTGCTGCTGGTCTGCGGGGCCCAGGGCTTCTTCCTGCCCAACGTCACCCACTTGGAGGAGCTGCTCAGTAAATACCAGCAGGACAGGCCCCACTCCCGGGTCCGGAGGGCCATTCCCAGGTCGGACAAGGAGGAGATCCTCATGCTTCACAACAAGCTGCGGGGCCAGGTGCACCCCCCGGCCTCCAACATGGAGTACATGGTGAGTGCCGCGCTCCCGCGGGGGGGCCTGGGCTGCACCTGCTCTTGTCCAGGGGGTGGGGGCGGGGGCAGGCTCGGGGTCTCCTGGCGAGAGAGCGCCCCCGCTGCCTCCGTCCTTCACACCCAGACAGCGCTCGTGGGTTCCCCGTGAAGCAGCCCGGCCCGGGTCCCACCCCCGTGGCTCTCTGCTGGCCCGTCCTCGAGGCCGTCTAAGGGCTGGGCTTTGGTGAGCCCAGTCCCAGCTCCACTGCCTCCTTGTGTGTGGCCGTGACGTGGCCCCAGCCAGTGGGAGCCTCGGCCTCCACTCCGAGAGTCCCTCCTCTCACGGCTCGGGGACGGTGTGATGACGTCACATAAAGTGCGGGGCACAGGTGCTCAGCCCTGGGGCCCTGGTCACTGTTGTCACGCCGCAGCTTGGTCCCCGGCCAGTCTCGGGCCACCCTGCTCTGTCGGAGCGAGCAGGAGCAGTCCGTGAGAGATGGGGTGTGTGTTGGTGAGGGGGCTGGCAGACGGGGGACAGTGGAGGGTCCCCCGTGACCCTGGGGAAATCCGACACGGAGGAGTAGAAGGTTAGCCGGCTCTCCCAAGTCCGTGCCTCCAGCCCTGCCTCCCCGCCCGCCTCTCCCTTCCTGCCAGCACTGCTTCCGCTCGCCCCAGCCCCGTCAAGTAGCTGCTGCTGTCCTCCCATTTTACAGAGTAGGAAACTGAGGCCCCAGGTCAGAGCCGGTCGTGGCAGAACCGACTGCGGGACCCAGGCTCAAAGCCACCCCTCCGCACTCCGTTTAAACCCTGGCACCCGCACGGCCCCTGCCGGCATCCACGGCCTCTCCAGCATTTTCCATCCTCTGTGCCTGTCCCCCGACACCTCAACCAGCCCTGGGGCTTTTCACCTCCCATGTGGCCCCCGCTGGCCCGTCCTGACCCCTGCTTCCTTTTACCTTCCTGACATTCACGAGGTTTGTCTCCTGCCCAGAAGCCTCCAGGCCCCTGTGTGCCCAGGGTGGAGCCCACATGCTCAGGCCTGGCACTCGGGGCCTCTGATCAGGAGCTCCTCTGTCCTGAGAAGCCATTCGGGGTCCCCCAAAGATGCTGCAGGCCCTCCGTGCCCCAGGAGTCTGGTCCCCACCTCATGCCTTATCCCGTCGTAAGCAACCGTCGCTCGGTACCCGGCTCGTCCCCCTCCCCTGGACTTCACCGTCCCTTTTCATGGTGCTTTGTGCCGTGACGTAGGAGGCCCTCGTGGTCAGGGGTCATCCCGCGTGCCTGCAGACCCCTCATCGTCACCGTCTGTGCCCTCCCGAGGTGGCCCATCCCCGGCTAGAGGGCACATGAAAGGCTAGCCGTGTGGGCAGAGCACCCCCGAGCACGGCTGTCCTCTGGGAGTTTGTTAGGAAACCATTTCTTTCTTCCCTCCAGAAAACCACCCGGGTGTTTACGCGGAAGGGGTTGTGCTAATCTTTGTTTTGTTTTGAGAGAGAGGGAGTGAGCCAGGGAGGGGCAGAGAGAAAGAGGGAGAGAGAGAATCCCAAGCAGACTCCACGCCGTCGGCCCAGAGGCCGACACAGGGCTCGAACTCACAAACTGAGATCACGACCTGCGCCAAAGCCAACAGTCGGCCACTTGAACGACTGAGCCGCCCGGGCGCCCCGGGGTTTGTGCTAATCTTAGGAGGAAGAGTGGGCACCCTTTCAAAATGCTGATGTATGAGACAGCTGATGCAGACCTTTTTAGGGTTAAAGCCGTCGAGAATTAGAGCGGATTTCTTTGTGGCTTTGGGTGTGGACTCTTCCCCCATCCTTCCCAGGACCTGGTGGTTTGGCCTTGGTCCCTGTGGGGAAGGGACACTCTCTACCTCTCTGGATAGGTCAGTCTTCCTCCCGTGCCCCTCCCCACCCCAAGGCCCTGTGTGGTGCCCGTCAGGGAGCAGAGAATTTTCCTTGGCCTGAAGCTTGACTGAGCCCCAAACCCCCGGGATCCCGTCTGCTTCCTGCCTCCTTTTGGGAATAGGCTAGGTTTATGCTGGTCTTTTAGTCACTGCCCCGTGCTTGCCCAGGGGCCTTGTGGGAGATTCAGCGCAAGTGAGCAGGGCTTAGCTACGCAGCAGGGAGGGTCCCAGTGCAGCCTGGAACGGGCCTGCGTGTTTTCGTGTTTGTTTACTCTCTTGACTTCAGGATTGGAGCTGGGATCTGGGTCCTTGGGTCTACACGGCCTTTCAGGGAAGCTGAGCCTTCACGGGTGTGGTCGGGGCCACCTCTGAGCAGGGCCACGAGGCAGGGAAGGAGGCACGAGTCCCAGTCTCTCCCCGGTGCTGCCCCCCTGTGCATCCTGCTTCCACACAAACAAGTGGCAATAATTCGAGAAAACGTCTTGAAAATCTCGCTTCCGGCTCAGCCCTGCCTGCCGGGGCTTTGAGCTGCGGTCCCTTGAAATAGCCTCAGCATTGAAAGGTGGTTTTATTTTTAAGTTTATTTATTTATTTTGAGAGAGAGAGAGAGAGAGAGAGAGAGAGAGAGAGAGAGAGAGAGAGAGGGGGGGGCGGGGCAGAGATGGGAGGGGGGGAGGAGAGAAAATCCCAAGCAGGCTCCATGCTGTCAGCACGGAGCCTGACGTGAGGCTCACGAACTGTGAGATCTTGACCTGAGCCGAGATCCAGAGTCCGATGCTTAACCGACTGAGCCAACCAGGTGCCCCGGAAGGTGGATTTTCAATCTCCAAAGAGTTAAGGCACCCTCTTTTGAGGTTTTATAAGTGGACAGGCTCCGGAGCCAGCCTTCCTGGCTTGGTAGCTGTGTGACTTCAGGCAGATTAGTTAGCCTCTCTGTGTTAACGTTTCCTGGCCTGCACTACGGGGACAGTAAAAGTCCCCTTTTCCTAGGGTGGTTGAGAAGAGTCAATGAGACGATGCATGAGGACTAAATATGTGTTAACATATCGTTGCTGTTATCAATTTAGTAACTATTAATACTTTAGTGGAGCAGGACTGGCACTTGGTGACCGTGTGCAGAGCAAGATGAGACCCCCACCCCCCATCCCCAGCCTTGGACACCGGTTAAAGCTGGGTTGGTAAAGTTGTAACTTCCTGCTGTGTGACCTTAGGCAAGTTACCTAACCTCTTTTAGCGTCAAGGTCTTTTGTTTTTGGTTTTGTTTTTTTGTTTTTTTTTTTTTTGTCTGCAGCAATGGGAAAATCAAACCTACCCCAAGGGCTACTGGTGACAATGAAATAAGAAAATGGGGCTGATACTGTTCCCTGGCAAGTGCACTGCCCCGGGCGGGGGCAGGGTAGGTGCTTGAGAAAGTGAATTTCCTTAATGCTCCTGTAGTGTTTACTGAGAGCCACCTCGCACCTCACCTGGGGGCTAGAGCCTGCTCGGTCAGCCTCCCCGCAAATCCTATTCCAGCAGGCACCACCAGCCCCCCCCTACGAGATGGGGAAACAGAGGCACAGAGAGGTGAAGCCACTCGTCCACGGTCACACAGCCAGCAAGGGGCAGCGCGGGGCCCCACACCCAGGTTCACGCAACACGAACACTCTCCCCGGCGCCCTCACAGCCCTGTTCTTTCCTTCTTCCTTCCGCCAGTCACCCCTTTGGGGGGTAAAGAGCATTCAGCTGTGTCCTTCCTTCGGCGAGACGTGGACTGGTCGGCGGGGCTCATCTTCAGCTGGGAAAGCACAGGCGGAGCGGGGGGAGGGGGGGTGAGGGGCAAGGTGGGGACTGGAGGGGACCCGTGAGGGCTGGAGTGAGTGGGGGGGGGGGTGCCGGGCCCGCCCTGCCTGCGTTCACCCAGGCACGCGTGCGTCATGCCGGGGCGAGAGTCGTGGCCTACGACACCGCCGTGGCAGGGGGGCGCTGAGCAGTAGAGGGTGTCGCACACAGTCACAGCCTTGACTGCCAGCCCTGCGCCCCTCTGTTCGGGAAGCATCGTTCTGAGGCCCTACTACGTGCCGGGCACGGCCGGAGCCGAGGGGCGGTTGGGAGGTGAAGGGCAGGCCCCGGGAGGAGGCCTCGGACGCAGGGGCGGGGAGGGCTGGGTCCCCGTTAGGCCGCGGCCTGGTGCAGACCACGTGTGGAGTCTGCCTGTCTCCAGCCAGAATTTCAGACGCCTTTGACCCCCGAGATCTGCCAGGCGTGACCTCGCCCTCCCCGCGCGCCTCCCCGCTGAGTTGTAGAAGACGTTGTGGCCCCGGACCAAAGGCACACAGGGTTCACGCTGCTCAGAATAAACAGTGAGCTTCTGAGAAGCTTCTGAGAAACCCCTCAGGGCGGGGTCCGCGCCTGCACAGGCTCTGCTCTGCCTCCCTGGGCTCCGGGAAGGACCTTAGCCGGCCGGCCGCTTCCAGAGAGGTCTCGGTGCGAGCTGCCACCCGTCCCCACTGTGTCCCCCCCACCCGGCGCATGGTGTCTGTTCCTTCCCGGAGCATTGGGTGGTCCACTGCTTGGAGAAGGAGTCACCACGTTGGTTCCGTAGTGTATTTGGGAGGGGGTGACCCGTAAATCCAGAAGGCGGGAAGAAGGTGGTGCCACATCATGCTACAGTACGGGGGGCGTCTCCTGGCGGGAGCGGGGGCTCAGATCTGCTAAGGAAAGGGCATCAGCAGGCAGGTCACCCGCCCGAAGGCAGGCCCGTCCCCTGTTGACTGCGTGTGGCCTCTGCGATGTCAGCTCCCTTCCCCCTTCGGGCCGTGCCTGGGTGTTGGAGAAGGACCCCAGGCAGAAGCGGCACAGCGCTCGGTGGGCACTAAAGGCAGGGCGCTGTCGCAACAGAGGAGTCTGACGTCTGAATGCCCCTGGCTGTTAGGGACTCTGTGTCACTGAGGCTGGAAAGAGGTGGCAGGGCGGGAGGCCGGGGACGCGCTCAGCTTGGCGGGGGTTCCGTACCGGGGTCCCGCGGCCTCGCGTTCCCGGCCACGTCCCGGGGCTCTGGCCGATGGTCTTTCGGTGATCACCTACTGTGTGCCAGGGGCTGGGGCTCTGCAGAGAGGGGACTGCCTGCCCCGCAGGCCACTATATCTGCCCGATGGCGGGGATGAGGCCAACGGCAATTGGCAGAGGCCGGGAGGCCGTGCCACGGGCTTGCCCGGCATCCCCGGCAAGTCCGAGCCCGGGCGGGAGCTGTGAGGACGGCTGGAGGCCCGGCTTCTCTGGGCTCCTGGCTGACCTGCTGCTCTCCCCTTGCCGGCTCAGGAACCCGTCCGACGTGTGCGCAGAACGCGGTGTTCAAGGGGCTGAGCCCTGGCCCGCGGCTCCACCTGGGGCCCGAGTGGGGGTGTCGCCGCAGGCCCTGTCTTGACACCCGTGCCTGACTCTGGCCTCCCCCGTGCCCCCTCCCCCTGCAGACCTGGGACGAGGAGCTGGAGAGGTCGGCCGCGGCGTGGGCTCACGAGTGCATCTGGGAGCACGGGCCCACCGGTCTGCTGGTGTCCCTTGGGCAGAACCTGGCCGTCCACTGGGGCAGGTAAGAGCCGCCGCGGTCCCGCCGTCACTTGCGAACTGGCCGCCACGGTCCGTTGTCACGTCCAGCCTGCTCATCGGTCCAGACGCTGATCGCCGGGCTCGGGCTTTCTGGAGCCGGGCTCTTCCGTTCCGTGTCCTTGAAAGGATTCCTGAGGGAGCCGGCTGGGTGAGCTGGGAACGCAGGGACGTTGCTTGCAGGGACCGGCCAGAGGGTCTTCTCCGCCCTCGGATGTCTGAGTCCTGCTCATTCTCCAGGGCCAGCCAGGCTCCGCCTCGCGAGCGGCTGCCCTTCTCCTCCCCGCCTTGTCCGGGGCAGGCCGGCTCTCACGGCCAAGGCCCCCTTGCCTGGAGGAGGCTCTTGACGGTGGTCTGTTACGTGTCTCCCCCTGGCCTCCCCGGGGTCAGCTGGGCGCACGGCCGAGCCCCTGCCCGGCTGACGGCTGGTTTCCTTAGAGGACGGGGCGGGGGTGGGGGGCGGGGAAACGTGTCTTCTGGGTCAGCGCAGACCCGCTGCCCGGCCGGACGATGTGCTGTGTCCCCAAGTCCTCCAGGCCCGGACCCAGAGCCAGCCAGGGGCTCAGGGCCCCCTTGGGCTTTGCCTCTACCGTTGACAAGTTGGACTGGACTTGAAGCGTCCCTTAGAAGGACGGGTCGGGGTCGGCCTGACTCGCGGCCCAGATGGTTCCCGGCTCTCGCGTTCAGCGTGGCCGCGAGCGGTACCCTTCCCTTAGGCCACGTGCTCTCCTGGGACAGAATTGGAGCAGGTGCCACGAGGGGCCCAGACACGTGACTTCACGGAAGCGAATTCGAATTCACACTTTTTTTTTTTTTTTTTTTGTCCTTGGGTGAATTCTGCTTTTGATAAAAATCCGTCCTCCGGTCGCACGAAAAGACAACGTCGACAGGGAGGAAGCCCTCCGTCCCACAGCCCCGGCTCAGCCGCCCGCGCTTGACTGGCGTAGCATCTGGCGGTGGGCCGGCATATTTTTACACAGTCGAGGCGGTGGCCAGGACAGCTTGTCATCTTTTTCCTCCCTCCTCAGACGACGTCGGGCAGGTTTTCTCTTCCGTAGCCGTCTCGGCTGTCGTCGCAAAGGCTGCCTTCGGGCCACCCAGCGGGCAGGCCCAAAGTGAGCCGTTCTATCCTGGGACCTAGCCTCCGCCTTAGCTGCATCAGACCCCCTGGGAGGTGTGACGGTGCATAGGGCGCAAAGGTCTCGCCCCTCCGGGGTGCGTCGTGCCCCCCTGCCTTCCCAAAGAGCCCCTCGTTCTCCGGGACCCCGCGGCAGCCCGGCCGTGGCGCTCCGGGGAAACGGGCAGGCCAGAGTGTCCCTGCGCTCCGTGGCTGTGCGGCCACGAGCGTCTTTTCCTACGTGGGCCCTCGGGAGAGAGGCCGTTTCCCCGGCCCCGTCGCTGACCGCCACCATCCGCTGTGGGTTCTGACGGTGTTCCAAGACCTCCTGCTGCACGCTCGCTCACCGCGGGGCTCGTGGACGCGGCCAGACCCCTCTGGTCTTTCCTCTTTACCAAACCCGCTTTGCTTAGACTTGCTGGTGACGGTGACTGGGGATTTACATCCAGTTTATTTTCTCTCCCGGTAAGCAGAAAATGATGTCAACCCAGCGGACGGAGCAGTGGCCAGGAAGGGTGATGATGACCGGGTGGGGACAGGCGTCCCCTCCCCCTGGGGGCAAGGGAGGGCTCGGGTGATAAAACCCTAAATAGGAAGTTCCCCAAAGGGTCTGCCCACGTGACTGCAGAGCTCCGCCTGCCGGTTCCTGCGTCTTGAATTCCTTTTCCGCCTCGTATTTGACTCCTGGGGTCCCCGGCAGGAGTGCGGCCAGCCGTGACCGCGTGGAAACGAGAGGCTCCGGGTTCTTGTTTGGGGGTGCCAGGGACCCGCGCCCCCCCCCCCCCCGTAGCCAGCCATCTCCCAGCTTTCAGACCTTCCCCGCCGCTGTGGATGTCCTATCTGAGCCTTACCTGGACGGTTACTCACTGTTGTTCTCTGCACTGACCTTAAACGGACTCAACGCCTGAAATCAACTTGTGTTGTTGCTCTGTTTTTTTTATTTTTATTTTTTAAGTTTATTTATTTTTAAAAAAAATTTTTTTTTCCAACGTTTTTTATTTATTTTTGGGACAGAGAGAGACAGAGCATGAACGGGCGAGGGGCAGAGAGAGAGGGAGACACGGAATCGGAAACAGGCTCCAGGCTCCGAGCCATCAGCCCAGAGCCCGACGCGGGGCTCGAACTCACGCGAGATCAGGCGAGATCTCGCGAGATCGTGACGTGGCTGAAGTCGGACGCTTCACCGACTGCGCCACCCAGGCGCCCCTTAAGTTTATTTATCTTTGACAAAGACAGAGTGCGAGCATGTGCGGGGGAGGGGCAGAGAACGAGGGAGACACAGAATGGGAAGCAGGCTCCAGGCTCCGAGCTGTCAGCCCCAGAGCCCGGCGCGGGGCCCGAACTCACGAACTGTGAGATCATGACCCGGGCCGAAGTCGGAGGCCTAACCGGCTGAGCCACCCCGGCGCCCCGTCAACCTGTGTTTTAAGCGACATCTGGGAAATGTGGCGCTCAGGGGCCACGTATATTTTCCCAAATGTACGCTTGATTGTAACGTAAAGAATGGCTCGCTGGGGGCCGGGCGGGAGTTTCCCGCACACATAGGTGGCATGTGGGCCCCCCAGGGACTCTCCTGGCGCCCAGGAGGACCCCGGGGGTACCCTTGCAAGGGGAGCCCTTGCAAGTCGGGGTTGTCGGCAGTGATACAGGCGCTGGGCGGGATCTGCGGCCCCTTGCCCGGAGCCTCCTCTCCTCCCGCCTGCCCGTGCGTGGTGACGCTGGTTGCTGCGGTCTCTGTCTGCTGGGGGTGCGGGAGCCGGGACGTGACAGGCTGATCTGCCCCCGCAGGTACCGTTCTCCCGGCTTCCACGTGCAGTCCTGGTACGACGAGGTGAAGCACTACACGTACCCCTACCCCCACGAGTGCGACCCCTGGTGTCCGGAGAGGTGCTCCGGGCCCATGTGCACCCACTACACGCAGGTAACGCTCCAGGCGCCCCCCCGAACCCCTTCACTCACCTGGCCGCGCAGGACGGCCACCCAGCCAGGAAACTCTGCGCTCCCGTTGCCGCAACTGTTTTCTTTGACGTGGCGTTAACTCCAGGTGTCGCCGGCGGGCCGGGCTGGTGTTTGTGACCCAAGTACGGAAGCTGAGAGTGTAACAGGGATCTTCAGGGGGTGAGGGGAAAAAAAATCTGGTCCTTCCCCGCTTCACATCATACCCCTTTAGCACCAGCAGCCTGTACATCGAGGTCACGTCGTGTTGGCTCGTCCTTAGCTCTGACACACGGGTGTCCTCTTTTCAGATAGTCTGGGCCGCCACCAACAAGGTCGGCTGTGCTGTGAACACCTGCCCGAGGATGAACGTGTGGGGAGATGTCTGGGAGAACGCGGTCTACCTCGTGTGCAATTACTCTCCAAAGTAAGAACACGTGACGTGGCTGGAAGGGCTGGGATGCGCTCGCCGGCCATGGAGGACCCAACTAAAATCGGCTTGAGTGGTGAAGTGTCTTCACGAGTTCACATAACGACATACCTAGTGATGGGTGCATCCGGTGTAGCTTAAAAGCGCCGCGGTATCGGCGAAGACTCAAGCTCTTTCTGTTTCCCGGCTGTGCTATCCTAGCCTCTTGCTCCCAAGATGGCTGCAGAGCACCAGCCATCACATCCCCCCAAACTAAAGGGAAGAGAATGGTAGAAAAGGGCTTTCTCTCAGGCCTTCCTCATCCCCGGCCCACTTTCTCACGTCATTGGCCAGAACCAGGCCACTCACAGACGAGGGGGGCACAAGATTTCCCCAGCTGGCTTTAACCAATGAAATTGCCCTAACTGGCTTTGCCGGTCATCTGGGACCGTCCGACCAATCGGAAGTGGGAATAGCTGTTGACCGGCCAACCAGTGGGGTGTGCCATGGCAATACTCTGGTCTTTTTCTTCTCTAAAAATACGCAGCGGACAGCATTCTAGCAAACAAAGTCACGCTAGACCTGGTTTTCGCACTTTTTACGCTTCCCCTGCTGGGAAGGCCCGCGTGGCACCTCTGTGTGGCAGCCCCCTTCTTCCTCACGCCATGCTGATACCGTCGGCGTGCCACTGGTCCCTTCACTCATTCACCCCCTTTGCCCCTCAAATACGTGCCGATTCTCAGAGCACGATCTTCCCAGCGGAGAGCCCGCGGTTTGCACGCTGGCCGCGGGGCTGGCCGCCACCCTCGCACCGAGCCGCGCACACGGTGTGCCCTTGGCGCATGCTTGCTCCGTGACCGAATGCAATACAAATGACCTCACTTATTTGGTTTGGGCCGGGAGTGGCCGCGAGGAGGCGGCATGGGGCGGGGGGTGGGGGGCAGCATCGCTAAGGTCGGGAAGCAAATAGCCACTCTGGGTGAAAGCATCTGGCGCGCCCGTGCCGGCCGCGTCTCGGCAGCCCGCAGGCCTGAGGGCCGGCCGATTATGTCATCGCTGGGGGGAGGCGCAGGCCTGACAAAGACCAGTGATGGGCCCACGATGGTGGGACCCCCCCCCCCCAAACCCCGGCCCGGTGGCAGGTGGCGGGTGAGGGATACTTCCATTTGACTGTTGGTGTAAAAAAAAAATCCACCAGAAGAACCTAGCAGAAAAAAGTGCTGCCTGTTTTTGGTTCCGGCTGGTTTTTTTGTTGTTGCTCTTTCCCCAAAAGAAATAACGTCTTGTATGGTACATGCTAGTCTTTTTTTTTTTTTTTAATAATTGACAGACCTTTACTTTTAACATTCCGTGTTCATGATCTGTCACATTAGGAAACCGATTCGGGGTCCTCGGTGCCCACTGGTCTTAAGCGTGCGGCTCGATAAATCCCACCCGTGTCTGCGTGGACCCGCCCGTGCGGGCGGCCGCGACCCAGTGCCGGGGGCTGGGGGCTCACATTCTAGGGGTTGTGCGCCCCGGGTCGAGGCCGGGTTCTGGTGATTCTCTTCCTTCCTGTGCCCTCATGTGGCGTCTCAGTGCGTGCAGGGTGGGGGGAGGGGGGCCCCTAGTGTCTCCTCTTATAAAGACTCGAGTCCTGGTGGCTCAGGGCCCCCCATCCTTGTGGCCTTGTTGAACCCCACTTACCTCCTGGGAAGCCCCGTTTCCACACTGGGGGTGAGGGCCTCAATTAGCGGCCGGCGGGGAGGCAAACGTTCAGTCCGTATGATACGTCTACACCCCTGGAACTAGCACCCAGCCCAGGACGGAGAGTGTTTTCAGGGGCCCAGGGTGTTGCCCAGAGGGCCCACCGTTCCGACATCCCTCCCCGTCGGTCAGTCTGTCTGGTTGGGACCCACACGGCAACGGGCCAGGCAGATGGGCTCTTTCGCGCCTGGCGTCTTCTGCTCAACACCGGGTGTTCGAGATTAATCCACAGTGTTGGCTGTTCGGCGGGCCTTTTTGATTGCCGCCTTGCACCCCGCGGCGTCCGCGGCCTCTTTCCTAAGAGTCCGAGCCGCTGGCCATTCAGGACGCCGACCTGGGCGCCAGACCTGGGGGGTGGCTGACAGGGTGGGCTCGGGGGTGGTGTTTGGGCAGAGGCGGGGGATCCCGATACCTGATGGCCTCGTGTGTCAGGGGGGACACTTACTCCAAGGACCTGTTGGTGGAGTAAGACCATCGTCTGCCCGCAGGACGGTGGCCTAGGACCTGGCACCCAGCCATCAGGCCATAAACGTTAGTGGTTCGTCTTTGAGGAAATATGGAACCCTAGATGGGGGGCAGACTTGGCTGGTGGGGAGGGACGAGCCCATCTGGGGGCCAAAGACTGCGACGAAACCTCTGCCAACTTTTGAGAAGTGGCGTAAGAGGGGCACCTCAGAAGCTTCCCAGCACCAAGGTGTTGGGGCCTGGGTAGGGGGTGGCCCGCGGCGTTCAGAGTCGCGTAGGGCAGGACACGGGCAGGTGTGGGGTCGAAGGGGTATGTAGACGCGCACACTGACGTGACAGAACACGACTGGGATTCTTCTAGAATTTTCTAGACTCTTTGCAGCTGCCCAGAAGCCTACGCCCTCCTTCCTCCCCCAGACAGCCTGGAGAGGGGAGGGGGGGGCGCCCCAGGCCCTGGGGTGGCGGCCCCCCCTCCCGATGGTGTTTCTGGTCTGTCCGCAGGGGGAACTGGATTGGAGAAGCCCCCTACAAAACCGGCCGGCCCTGCTCCGAGTGCCCGCCCAGCTACGGAGGCGGCTGCAGAAACAACTTGTGTTACCGAGGTAGGTCGTGACCCCCCGGGAGCGCCTTTCTGCTCCCATCCGGGATACGACATGCAGACCTGGCGGGACGGAGGTCCAGCGGGGTCATTGCCACGAGCAGTGACGTGTGTCTTCCCAGGGGAATAGCTCATGCCACGGGGCTTACCGCGGGGGCATTGACTGTCATCCGGCGGGGCTGGGGATGACAGCCTCCTGAGGAGGGAGATGCAGCCTCGGGGCGAGAGCAGGAAGCGGAGCACACACTTGTGCCTGGAGCTGTGAGGACCGTGTGGTCATGAGCTGGGAGAGAGAAAGGCTGTGAACTGCGGTTTCTCCCGCTGGCCCGTCCCTCTTCTCTGTCTTCGGGGCTCCACACCCTTGTTGGGTGTCCCCGCTCGGAGTCCTGCCTCCCCTGAGCCTCAGTCTCCCTGCCTGAAAGTGGGGGTCACGGCGGTACGAGAAAGCGGGCGGGGGCTGGCACTCGGGCCCGACCGGCCTTCCCCGTGTCCCTGGCGGGCAGGGCCTGTGGCCGCACTCCAGTCACCCCAGCAGGGGTGAGTCCCCCGTCGGCTCCCGAGGGCTGATTTGGGGAGCGTGAGGGAGGGACGCCCTTGGCCTCTTGGCTCTCCCGCTGTTCTTTGCGGAAACCTGATCTCATCACAGGGCTGTTCTCAGAGCACTGTTCTCGGAGCCCCTCCGTGAGGGGCGCCAGGGGCCCAAGCCACAGCCGCCTGGGCTGGGGGGCGGCGTCTGTGTTGTCACTGGCGGTGCGCGCTCTGGCGTACCGCTGGCTTTCTTTGTGCCTCAGTTTCCCCAGCTGTAACAGCGACAGACTCCTTCGGTGGCGGTTTGCTGGGAGGAAGCAGAGAGAGGGACGGGAGCTCCTTCCCGCCAGCCGCCGGCACATGATGCTCGGCGAACGGGCCCTTTACCCCTCGGAGAAGTAGTGGGCAAGTGTGGTGGCACTCCCTCCCTTGCGTGGGGTCCGACCTTCTTCCTGGAGACACGGCTCTGGCGTCCCACCTCCTCCAGGGAGGCTTCCCTGATGACACAGGCGGTGCACCTGCTTCTGCAGTCTTACTGTACGGGGACCCCTCGTGAACCCTGGTCACCTGTTGTTACAGCTGCCCGTTCACCCTGGGGCCTCCAGGGTCCCGTAGCAGATGTGTTCTGAATACATATGTCCCCGGTACCCCCAGAGGGTCATTTTCAAAGAGCAAACGCACACAAAGGCACCTTAGATGCTCGGTTACCCACCCAATGAAGCCTTTGTACTCACTTCTTTATTTTTGGTGGAAGACGCCCAAGTTCCCTTGGCAGGACTCCCTGCCACGGGAAGGTTTCCACAGCCAACCACGCAGAAAGTCTCCTCTAAAGCAGCTTATCTGCGTAAGCTACTTAATAAGCGTTTATTGAGAGTGCCTGGCAAGGCCTTGACCTATAATGGTAGATGGAGCGGGGATACAGATAGACTGTGAGAGAAGTTTCCGCCCCTCCAGCCTGAAACCGGGACCCTGTGTGGCGACCAAGGACATGGGCTTCACGGAAGGACAGTGTGAGCCTCAGCTGTGTGAGCTTGAACGGGTAGCTTAGCCTCTCTGAGCCTCGGTTTTCCTGTCTGTGAAATGGGGCTGATCATGCCTCCTGGGGAGACGGGACCGCACACCGAGGAAGGGCCGAGCCGGCGGGCGGTCACACGGTTTGTGTTCAGAAGACGTTAGCCGTGAGCTCTGTCCCTACCTACGGAGGAAGCTGCGGGAGGACGTAGGCCCAGCCGTGTGCCCTGAACCCCCAGGGCTGGACAGCGTGCACCATAACCTTGCAGTGAACTTGGGCACGGAATTTCCCCAGTCCTGTGCTGCTCTACGCGGGGCACCTTAATTAGGATGTGCTCAAATACAGCCTGTCCTCTGGGTAAGCACACCTCTTTTCATGTGTGCGTCTGAGGGCGAGGACTGTCTGCCCATTTGCTTAAATAGTGAGGCCTCAAATGCTTCGGATGCTCTAGCAAACTATATTCGGCTGAATAAAGCCACGATTATGAGGTATAAAAAATCCTACAGGCCAGTGGAAGAAACCCCGGCTCATTCCCGAGATAGCTCTGGCTTTCGGTTGAAGGGCCAACCTGAATAGCGACATTGACGGGAACAGCGGCCAGACGCAGAGGCAAACCCGGGGTCTTTGTAAAAAGCCGTCACCGATAGCTTTTGGCTACAAGTGGAGAATTTCAGAATTCCCATCTTGAATGTCTCTGAACTCAGCCGGGACTTTCTTTCTTTCTTTCTTTTTTTTTTCCTCTTTTCCCCCCAAGAACTCAAAGACACACTTCTTTTGAGACTTAGCTCATCCTTCATTCAGCAGATTGTTTGGGCAAAATGGTGCACAGCCGGATGTCCGTTGTGGGGTGTGGGGGGGGGGAACAGAAACAGGCTGGCTCTCTCCTGGCCCCAGGGAGTTTCCAGGTGGTGGTGACATCGCACCTGTGAACAGAGCTCTCATTAGGATAGCACCCCGGCTCTGGACCTAAATCCGCACCCTCCCCCCCCCTTAAATCCCACCCGCTCTCCTCACCTGAGGGACCGGCCAGGGAGACAGGTGCAGAGCGCCCCAGCCTTGAGAAGCAGGGGACACTTGGCCCCTCGTTTGCATGCTTGTTTTGCATAGCTCCGAGACACTTGGTTCCCCCTTTGGAGAAGAGAGGTCGCTGTTCCTCAGGAATGAGGCGAGGGGGTTCGTGAGCGCCCGCCAGGACTTGAATTTCAATCCGGTGCCACAGAGAGGCCGGGGAGGCCCCGGATGTCATCGTCACTGGGCGGCGGGGGGTGGGGGGTGGCTCTAAGGCAACAGTTTCCAGCTCTGGTCCACGGACGCCCCTGGGGGACGGGTGTGCACGCTGTGAAGGTGGGAGGGCTTCCCCGGCAAAGGCACGCACGCATCAGTCGGCCCTCGACAAGGCCTCGAGGAAATAAAACTGGCAAGACTTTTCTGCGCCTCGGCTGGAGTTCACCGTTTGGGACCGTGGCACCGTGGCGGCCTGAGGGTGGTTCTGAGGAGTGGCTCGCAGTTGTCTTTCAGGATGCAAACTCGAAGGTGCACCTGATCCTTAGGAGAAATGGAATTTGTGTGGCCACTGAGCGTGTTTGAAAACTCGGGGGTCGTGGTCGAGGTTGGAGAAGTGACGGTAGCGGGGTGACGTAACTCTGCGTTTAACCCGGAGATGGGCTAACTCAACCCAGCTTCGGCTTTGAATGTGAAAAAGCTGGCCGTGAGCGCCGGGCAGGGAAGCTTCGGTGCCCGAAAGCCGCGGTTGAGCAGGGACTCACAGGCGAGCGGAAGGGAGCAGACCCTGCCGGTGGCCGGGCATAGCGCGGTCCGAGGACAGCGACGTGGGGCCCCGTGCGCCACGGTGGGCGCACAGACGAGGAAGGCCCCTCCCCCAGGGAGAGCCCCGGGGGCCAGAGGGAGCTCAGGGGAGACCGTGCCAGCTTGGGCTCGGACGGGGAGGCGGCCCCCCGAAGCCGCGCCCTCGGGCAGGTGGTGGCGAGCGGGAGGAGGTAGGACAAGGAGCCAGTGTGACCACCCGGGTGCGGGCACTGGGGTTCGCACCTCTGGTCGGGGCTGCCCCCGGGTCCAAAGCAAACACGGCGAGCAGAGAGCCGGCCGCCTCGCCTGGGCGGGTGGGATGCCCCCTGGCCGGCTCGGTGCTGCCGTGGAACTTTCTCTCTGCTGCTGAAACGAGTCTTTGTGAAAGCGAACCGCAAGCAAGTTCGGTTTCCCGGTTGCCGTTTCCGTGCGCCCCCCCCCGCCCCTGCCGCCCCACAAAGTGAATTTTTGTGGCATCCTTCGTGTTGTCTGTCTCGCCCCCACCCCCGCTGTGAAGAAGAGACTTTCGTCCCCAAACCCGAAACGGACGAGATGAACGAGGTGGAGGTGGCTCCCGTCCCGGAAGAGAAGCACGTCTGGGTCCAGCCGAGGGTGACCAGACCCATGAAGCCCAAGAAAGCGGCCGCGGTGAACTACATGAGTGAGTGGGGGCCGCCTCTGCGGGGGGGGGGGGGGGGGGGGGGGGGGGGCCAGGAGGGGCGCCGCGGGGCGGGGAGGGCTCCGAGCGGGCAGACAGTGGGGACACAGGGCGGGTCTGGGTACAAACGCGCCGCCCCGAGGCATTTTCCAAAAAGGATACTTTTAAGTCATTTCCAAAGCAAGCGTTATGGGAGTGGTGCTTGGGGGGCCTTTCCCGCCAGGCAGGTATTTCGAGGTGAGGCCTTGCCCTTTCAGCAGGGGGCCTGGGCTGAAACTGGGTCCCCCTGGAGGTGCCGGCAGGGCGGGCATCCGGGCCCGGCTCTGGTGCCTCGGACCCTCACTGGCCCCTTCGAGACTTGGTTTGCTCATCCATAAAAGGGGACAGTAAGGCCCACGTGGGGTTGCTTTGAGCATCCTTTGCAGTAATGGGGGCCACCCAGGTCATCACCGCAGTGCCACCCGCATTCCCCCCAAGGCTCCTGGAAGTCCCCAAATGCAGGGTGTTGTCAGGCTTTCCCCTCTCCTGCCCCTCGATGCCCTCACCTGCCCTGGCTGGAGCTCAGTGCTCCATTTCCCCAAGGTAGCGCCTTTCCTGAAGGTTCGGGGCTCTGGAGGGGTGTTTTCTCATGAGCACAACACAGGCCTGGGTCGTCCACTCATGGTTCTCTGCTTCCCCTAAGCCGTTTCCGTTAAGAAAATGATAATTTAACATTACAAAATAAATGTCTTTCTTTCTTTTAAATAAGAGAGACAAATCAAGAAACAAGATTTTTTTAAATGTTCATCCGCTTTTGAGAGACAGAGAGAGAGAGAGAGAGAGTGAGACCAGGAGAGGCGCAGAAAGAAAGGGAGAGACAGAGAATCCCAAGCAGGCTCCACGCTGCCAGCGCAGGGCCTGACGTGGGGCTCAAAACTCACAAACCGTGAGATCGTGACCTGAGCCGAAATCAAGAGTCCGATGCTTAACCGACTGAGCCACCCGGGCGCCCAAATAATAAGTCTTTTTGACAAACTCTGACCCCACGCCAGGATTCTGACGTGTCCCTGTAAGACAGACAAGAAAGTAATGGTCGACAGAAGTTGTCTTGGCTGGAGAAGGCCTGTAAGTCCCACCCTCCAGAACCTTCTGGGGCTTCAGGGCACTTGGTGCGTATCAGGCCCCCCCCCTCCAAAGCCACATGCACGTTCTCAGTTAACGCTGACAGAAACAGCACCCAAGGTCCTATCCCCACTATCCGTATGCGGACACACCCTCACGGAGGGGAAGGAACATATCCAAGGTCACACTGCTTCTCTAAAGGGGCAGGTCGGGGATTGGAACCTCACAGATGAAGCATGCAGCCAGTGGGCACTGCTCCTGCTCAGGTTGTGGCACGGATTCCAGAGTGTTCCAGAAAGTTCTTCGGAGTGGGGGGTGGTGTCTGTTAACTCAGACCGATCCCCCTGCTTTTGTGACGTGTATTTCCGCACTTCTCTCCTAGCCCAAGTTGTCAGCTGTGACACCAAGATGAAGGACAAGTGCAAAGGGTCCACGTGCAACAGGTAAGGCCCGGCTGCACCCCTCTCTGGCCGACGCCTGCACCCCCTTCGAAGCGTGTGCCGCGGTCATGGGCCACGTCGTGATCAGTGCGATGCCGGCCAGCCGGGCCGAGCTGGGCAGAGACTCGGGGGAAAATGCCCTCCTCTGCTCTTAGCACAACGGTTGTGCCGGGTCGAGCGGGATGCTAGGCAGGCTCGTTCCCTGTCATAGGCTAGACCGGCCGTGGCGTCGCAGGTCTCCCTCCAACTGCCACCATGTAGTGCCTAGACCCGAGCTTCTTGGCCTCGGCACTCCTGACGTTTAGGGCCAGATCATTCTCTGGGGCGGGGCTGTTCTGTGCACTGGAGGGCGTCGAGCAGCATCCTGGCCTCACCCCCCTGGATGCCAGGAGCACCCCCACCCCCAACTGGGATGCCTAAAAATGGTCCCAGAAACTGCCCCACGTTCCCTGAGGGCTAAAATCAGTCCCGGTTGATAGCCTTTGACCAGGGAGCTGGCCCAGGCTCCCACCTCGTGGGGAGGACGGGCCCGAGTGACGGATGCTCTGGGTCCTTGGTCCAAAGAGAATCCCCAGGCTGTGGATGTGCCAGGAGCAGATGCGCCGTAGACACGGAGCTCGTGCGTGGCCGGGGCTCCGTTCCACCTGCTGCGCGAAGGGGGTCGCGGGGTGGCCCGGGTCCCGTGCAGAGCAGGGGAGGGCGGGGGCCGTGGGAGGACACGTGTGAGCCGGCGCTGTTGGCCGCGGGCAGATCCAGCCGCACGGCTGTGAAACCCGAGTCCCCACTGGAGTCAGAGCCACCAGGATGTTCCCCGGCAGTTGAATGAATCCGTCCGGCTGATGGGCTCACTTCGTGTTGTCCGCTCAGACGCTGAGGAACGATTGCCAGGAAGGCCGGGCTTGGGTCTGGCGAGGCGGCCGCTCTTTCGGGCAGCAAGCGGCCACCACGTGCCGTGGGGTCACGCGCAACCCCAGGCTCGTGGCCGGAAGCCCGTGTCGGTGGTGGAGCCCAGCCGCCTCGTCCGCCTGTGGCTCCCGGCGACCGTTCCCCTGAACGCGAATCGTGCTGTTTAGTGCGCACACCAGAATGAGAAGGTAGCAGATCCTGCTTCGAACCCTGGCGACTCGGAATTCGGTGTGCCAGGAGGAGGCTTTGCTCGGACTTTGGCAGGAGCGTTAGCAAGTGGCCCCGGGGCATCCCAGGGCGAGGTGGCTCGAGGGCCAGCAGGTGCCGGAGACGTCAAAGCAGTCGGGTTGTCGGTAGATGAGCAAATGCGGCGACCACGGGTGCCGGAATGACCCGGGCACATTTGCGTGGCCGTGGGGCCCAGTTGTCCCTTCGCGGTGACGTGCTTTTCTGTACCGCGAGCTCGTGAGGAGAACATCACGCCAGAGTCGTCAGTGGGAAAAAAATGACGAGGCTGGAGAACATCCGTCAGATAGCCTCGAGAACGTTCCGGAGTCGGGGGTCGATGGGACCCTCTGCAAGCAGGGAGAAGGCAGGGGTCCGGCCACACGAAGGCCACTAGAGGCCTCTGATCGGGAGCTACGACTCCCCCCACCTGCAAACACAGGAGCGTCCACGGTTCGCCTCCTGGAAGTCAGCCCATCCCCTGGCTCATCAGTTTTCTGTCCACGGTGCTTTTACAGTCATAGTATTGACCGGGCCTCCCCCCCTCTCCCCCGACTTTAAAAAGTATTCACGTGTATCGTCAGTAATTCAGGAAAACACCACCAGCACCAGAGTTTAGAGAAAAAAACTAAAGATTCCCCGCTTTTCCGCGATATCCGTAGAGATTTGATGTAGCTTCCCTTCCGGTCTTTTTTCTGGGCACCGGGGAGGCTCCCACAGCTAACGCCCCTCATGTGCTACTGTTTTCATTTAAGATTTTCCGAAGTCACATGTTTTCCAAAACCCTCATTTCTCGCGGATGCATCATACCCTAACGTACGACGGCACAAAAATGTGTTAGGCCGTCCCTCCGACGGTGCCGGCTTCTTCCTGGTCTTTCAGCGATTCCAGACCTTGGGTGCAGTACGTGGGCCTGACTTTCCGGCTTCTGGCCTGGGCTATGCGCTTACAAGGAAAACTTAAGAATTGAAGGATAGGCATTTTTAAGGCTTTCTGGAAAGGTGCATTTTCCTGGGCAAGAACACCATCGTTGAGTTTTATCCTATCTAAAAAGAAAAAAAACAAAACAAAAAATCCTTGGAATCTGACACCTAGAAAGAGGCTTGCCCTTTCCATTTGCGCCTTCTATGATGACTGATGTTTGAGGATTTTTGTTTTGGTGCCTTTGAAACCACTTGGTTTTCTTCCGTGAATTGCCCATCGGTTGGCGTCTCTGCCTTTGACATGAATCTTTTTATTATTTTTTTTAATGTTTATTTTCGAGAGAGAGAGAGACAGAGTGTGAGCGGGGCAGGGGCCGAGAGAGAGGGAGACACAGAATGGGAAGCAGGCTCCAGGCTCCGAGCCGTCGGCACAGAGCCCGACGCGGGGCTCGAACCCACGAACTGTGAGATCCCGACCTGAGCTGAAGTCGGACGCTTCATCGACGGAGCCACCCAGGCGCCCCCTCCCTATGACATGAATGTTAAAGACATGAAAACGAGGTCAAGTTGAATCCACAATGGTGTTCCTGTGACCATGAACTTCACCTGGGTCTGCCGTGACTCCCTTGAAAACATCTGGAGCCTGCTTCTCTCTGGTGTCCGTGATAGAACTTCCGGACGAGAAGAACCCCGATGAATTCCTGGCAGGATTGCATGCACACACGTTCACCTGTGGGAATCACTTGCTTTCTTCTCCATCAGGTACCAGTGCCCAGCGGGCTGCCTGAGCAGCAAGGCGCCGGTGTTCGGAACTCTCTTTTACGAAAGCGTAAGTGGCCCGTGTGGACTCCCAGCGCGTTTGGAACGGAGGTTGCTGGTTTTGGCCCGAGGAGATTTTTTTCCTTCCACCCCCTCCGTCCCAGAGCTGATGTGCGCCTGTCTCCGGGCTCACAGACTAGGAAAGCCACTTTCGGGACCCGGGGTGGACCCTCGTGAAGGTCAGTCTCCATGTTAGACCGAGCGTTAATATGCCTCCCTGTGTGGGGAGAAAGGGCCATTTGTCACCGCTCTTAGTTCGTAAAGCACCTCACGTGGGTTTTCTCAGATAAGCAACCCAGGAACAAAGACGTGTTCTGGGGAAAGGCGGGAGTTAGAAGCGGGGCTTTTTGTGGCTTGGGGACAAAACCTTGGGCATCTCCAGAGCAGACTGGACAAAGGTGACTTCAGACGTACTTACCGTCTCCCTTCCCGCCCCCAGTCGTCCAGCATATGCCGGGCCGCCATTCACTACGGGATCCTGGACGCCAAAGGTGGCCTGGTGGACGTCACCAGGAACGGGAAGGTGCCCTTCTTCGTCAGGTCTGAGAGAAACGGCGTGGAGTCTCTGAGGTAACTGTCCCGTGCTCGGGATTCCTTAACGCTTTTTTTTTTCTTTTTTTTCCTGGTTATGAAAGTATTGTCGAAATTTTGAAAAGTACCGAACGATATGAAGAAGCAGGGAAACAAACCGTCACGGTGAACTTGAACGCCGTAGCTCAGACGTCACCCCGTAGGCGTTTCACCACCTCTCACCCGCGTGGGTGTTTCTGGGCGTGTGTTTAAGTGTTTAATTCGGCTGAGTTTCAACTCCTGCTTTTCCTCCCATCCTTGGGTTTAGAGGCTGACTCTTGACAGACCTGGTGCCCCGGCCCCTGCTCCGTGACCTTGGGCGGGTGTCTTCATCTCTTCTGGGTGACGGCGTCTCGCTGGGGAAAGAGGGCCATGGTAGGACCCGGCTGGTCCACACGGGTGTAGGCAGCTAGTTTTTTAAACGATGCAGCTCTCCCACGGTCGCTAGGAAAGATGTGTCGCCCCTGGAAAGGCCCCTCGCGCCCGGGAGTCCCCTCCCCCCATCCAGGACACCTAGAGCCTGGCCCCGCAGGGACACCGGGGCCCCTGCCCCAGCTCCCTGCGTCCCTGGGCCACGGTGCCTCGCATCAAGAGAGCCTCCCTGCGTCAGGGCCCGTCCCGCCTCTGCAGCCAGGGTCACAGCGGCCAAAGCGCCTGTGTGTGTTCCAGGGGGTTCCACGCAGAACATTTCAAAAACCGCATGAGTCATTCCCCTTTGAAAGGTCTGGTTCTTCAAGAGGGCTCGCAAGATTCCCTCTTTGCCTTAGCTGGGGTCTCAGGGGCCACGTCACCACGAGAGTGAGGATGTCTAAACAGAAGCAGAGAATGCGTTCGCGGAGGCCCGGTGACCTAACGCCGGCCACTGCGCCAGGCTCAGCGGGGGCACCGAGCGAGGGCGCTGTGGCCGGCCGGGTCTGCGCCCCGCGTGGCCCGCACAGCTTGTCCCGGAGCCGCGTCGGGGCCCTCCCGGCGGCCAGCTTTGCGTCTGGAGGGCAGTTCTTTGCGTCCCAGGGAGTCTGCCAACCTCGACACAAAGCAAACGGAAGCTTTATTTTCTCCAACCTCTAATTGAAACGTAGTTATTTCCTGCTGGCGGAGTGTTGGTCCCCAACGGGAGTAGGGGTGAGGCGTCTGCAAACGTCTGCCGTCACGACCCCGGAAAGACAGTGGTTGGAAGACAGTTTCTGCTTCGAGTGCATTCGCGAGGAAGCGCAGCTCTTACCCAAAGGCAGATTCATTTTTTTCCCCATGTTTATTCATTTTTGAGGGAGAGCAGGGGAGGGGCAGAGAGAGAGAGAGTGGGGGACAGAGGATCCCACGCGGGCTTCCTGCTGACCGCAAGCGAGCCAGATGCAGGGGTTGAACCCACAGACCCCGAGATCATGACCTGAACTGAAGTCGAGGCTCAGCCGGCCGAGCCACCCAGGGGCCCCACACATTCCTTTTGATGCTTTGGTAGCGATCCCACCAATAACTGATTTCCCGTTAACCTTTTAAGTTTATGGTCTGCATCTTAAAGTCACTATTCTGAGCAGGACACCAGCCTGCCCGAGGGGCTCTTGGCACAAAGTAGGTTGACACACCCCCCCTCGAGAATGGTCTCAGGGCTTTCAAGCTGATGGGAAACGAGTAGGGACACACAAAGTTGAGTCCGAAATGAAACAAACGTGGGACTTTGTTTCAACAACCCTGCACTTGTAGAAACAATTCTGTTTGCATTGAACATCCTGTTTTCTTCTCCAGCAAGTACAAGCCTTCCAGTTCGTTCATGGTGTCCAAAGTAAAAGGTAAGCTGGCCTGTCTTTTTTATTTTATTTTACTTTTAATGTTTATTTTGAGAAAGAGGGAGCGTATGAGGGGGGAAGGGTGGAAAGAGAGAGGGAGACCCGGAATCTGAAGCGGGCTCCAGGCTCCGAGCGGTCAGCACAGAGCTCGACGTGGGGCTCGAACCCACGAACCGCGAGATCATGACCTGAGCTGTAGTCGGCCGCCCAACCGACTGAGCCACCCAGGCGCCCCCTGGCCAGTCTTTTTTTTTTTTTTTTTTTTACGTGACCGTAATACACAGGTGATCTTGGGTTTCCCTGGAGATGTCATTCTCCTGAGCTGTTGACTTAATGTGAATTCTGCCTCTTAACACTGCAGTCCTCAGCATCGTAAAGGGTTTTTTTTTTTTTTCAACGTTTATTTATTTTTGGGACAGAGAGAGACAGAGCATGAACGGGTGAGGGGCAGAGAGAGAGGGAGACAGAGAATCGGAAACAGGCTCCAGGCTCTGAGCCATCAGCCCAGAGCCCGACGCGGGGCTCGAACTCACGGACCGCGAGATCGTGACCTGGCTGAAGTCGGACGCTTAACCGACTGCGCCACCCAGGCGCCCCCGTAAAGGGTTTTTAAAGAGGTTCCTGACAATGCTGATTCTTTAACTAGTTTCTAAACATATCTGCACCTGGCATCGGCCCTAAATCGCTAAACGGGCGTCACAGGCCCCGGGGGTTCCCAGCTGAATGTCCCAGAAGTCCTAATGCCTGGGTCTGGAGCAGCCAATAGGTTGTAGACGGAGAGTCTGTTTCTGTTGGTTGGTGATGGTGGGTGGAGTATTGAGTAGGATTCTGCAGCCTTGTTCTGGGCTCCTCAGAAAACAGGCCTCGATAGATTAGTAATGTCTGCCCTGAACGACAGAGGGGAAACTTGAGGAAGCACGCGGCCCGTCCGTGCCCTCCCCGGCCTCGCTGTATAATCCTGTCTACGGTGCGTTCACTTGGCGGGGGAAGGCGTACCCCTGGGGGGCGTCCTGCGGACACAAGCGGAGCCTTGGGTTCTGGTCGTGCAGAAAGAGCGCTTGACCGGGACGGTCTCAGGGGAGCCAAGATGTAGGGGCGCCCCGCCCGGCACCTTCCTCGGGAAGCTGGCCCGACAACCCCTTCCTTTGGGAAAGCGATTCTTGGCTTGTCACAGGCCCTGGATGCAAGAATATCTCATTAGGTGTCTTTATAAGAACACATAGCAGCTTTTCTCCTTATTACAAAATAATGCCTATTCATTCCAGATAATTTAAAAATACAAAGGCGCCTTAAAAAAAAAAAAAAAAAAAAAAGAGGTTTTGACCAAACTCCGCCACTTACAGATAACATTGTGAACGTTTTGGTGGATACTTCTGAAGGTGTTTTCCCTCTGATTACGAGTATATGCCCTGGTAATACATTGATCCACTTTCAAAAATTGAAACAGAGTTACATAAGTTTGGCAACCTGATTTTTCTCTTCAAATAATACTGTATCAGGAAGATACTTCTGTGCCTTTAAGTGGTGTTCTAAACCCAATTTAAAAAAAAGTATTTTAATTATTTTTTTAATGCTTTTATTTATTTTTGAGACAGAGAGAGACAGAGCATGAGCAGGGGAGGGGCAGAGAGAGAGGGAGACACAGAATCCGAAGCAGGCTCCAGGCTCTGAGCCATCGGCCCAGAGCCTGACGCGGGGCTCGAACTCACAGACCGTGAGATCGTGACCTGAGCCGAAGTCGGACGCTTAACCGACTGAGCCACGCAGGCGGCCCATGAACCCAGTGTTAATGACCTCATCTGCCTGCCATGATACGGCGGCCCCTGGTGTAGTGAACCAGTCCCCTTTGTTGGATTGCTACATCGATCCCCAACGCACCCAAATGATAGGCGGGACCACGGGTTGGTGATCTGCCACCCTCAGGGGCGAATCCTGCCTGCCCTCTGTCTTTGTAAATAAAGTTTTATTGGCACACAGCCACGCCCATTCGTTTACACGTCCTCTGTCGCTGGTTTCAGCCATAACAGCACAGTTGAGTGGTTGCAACGTAGTCCGTCGGGCCCCCAAAGCCAGAAATATTTAAATATTTGCCCTCTGGCCCTTTCGGCAGAGTTAGCCGAGCCCCAGACTAGCTGAAGACACGCAGAGACTACAGGTGGGCAGTATTAGAGCCCCTTTTTACCTCTGTTGTTTAAACCCACGTGACCTTGAAGATCGCTAGACTGGGAACCAGAAGCCTGGCCTCCCACCGTGTCCCGTGCAGACCCAGGGTTGTCTCTTGGCCTCTGGGCCTCTGTTTCCAACTCTGTAATTGGAATAATACCTACCGTGAAGAGAAGGAAGGTGAACAGCTTCAAAATAGAGAAGCAAATGAAAGGTATCGTGGGTCCGACGGAGGAACGATCAAGGGTGGTAACACCTTTGTGCTGTAGCCACGCTCAGGCCATGGGGCTTGTCACCCCTTGAGGGGCCCGAGGTGAGGTGCCAGCATTGCTGGGGCCAGGCACCTGTGGGCTTCCCATCCCACCTCTGTCCAAAGGCCCAGTGAGCCTCTTGGACCCGGTTGTCCAGCAGCCCATTTCATAGGCGGGTAGCCCGAGACCCCGGCTTGCGAGCGACCTGACCGTTTCCCATCGCGTTCCTGTCCCCAGTGCAGGACTTGGACTGTTACACCACCGTTGCTCAGCTCTGCCCGTTCGAGAAGCCGGGGACCCACTGCCCAAGGTGAGACTGTCTAGCGTCTGGTTTTGCCAACACAGGGGCCGAGAGAAGGCGGCGTCATGTTGCGTCGGGGGTCATCGCGCGGGGCTTCTTTCACTCTGCGTAATGCTTTCGAGACTCACCTGTGCTGCTGAGCACGTCGGTGGTTCCTTCTTCACGGTGGTTTCCATTCTGTGCCTGGACCACACTTAGGTTTTACGTGCGCTGCCTAAACCTTCTCTGGCTGATTTTTGGGGGGTGATGTTTCGTGACAAAACGATGGGTTCCCGGTAACACTTCCTTCTGAAGCACCTGTTAGGTCCTCTCGGGAGCTGTGAACCCTTCTCCCTCCATGAGACGGACCTTAAAACTAACATGTGGAGACCCCCAAGGTGTGAGCAGGGAAGAGCCCCAGGAGGCTGCTGGTGAGGGGCACACCCTGGACGGGGACCCCCCCACTCCTCCCCTCTGCTGTTCACACTCCCCTCGGGGCCCTCTCACTGGCCCCCACTGGCCCTCCGCCGCGAAGCTGATCCCCTTTGAATGTTCCAAGGATCACAACCTCTTATTAACTATTCAATAGTAAACCCAAATATTAAAGAGAAGCACAAGGAAGTTATTTCGGAAAGAACAAATGAACAAAAAGAAAAGCTTGACACGGTACAAGTATAGAAAACAGAGGTTTCTGGCCTGCCGTTCTAGAGAAAGTCAGAAAGAGTTTTCGTTCCCACATTCTGTTTTCTTTTTTAAAATCTCACACGCATATTCTCTCGGTCCACTCCTGTCCCCTCCCTCCCGCGGGACTGTTTTAACTTCCCAGTCCCTTTGTCTGCCTTTCTTGCCTCCCGGGATCCTGCCTGCCTTGGGGCCACATGGCTTCCGGACGCCATGTTGGTTTCCTGGTCCCTGGGTTCCAGCAACATGGCATACCTTTTTAAAAAACGGAAAAAAAAAAAAAAAAAAAAACAAAAAAAAACCCAACCCTTTTCTTAGGTGGGGCTCATGCTTTTCCCTGGTCTGAATCTCTCACACCAGCTGGGGCCCACCCATTTCCAGGTTGAGGTGCTGTCCTAATCCTCTAGGCCCACAGCAGGGATGTGGTTGACCGACACAGTGGTGATCTAACCTCTTCCGCCTCAGGTTATCAGCGCCCCCTCTCTGTAATAGTCTGACTCATTGAGGTGAGGGCCCTCCGCCCTTTCCGCCCTCATGCAGGGAAACGGCCTTTAAAAAAGTCTATTGAGTATAATCTCCGTGATGTACTCCCGGTATGAGTTGGCCAACCCCCGAAAATGGGAGGTACGACCTCCGACAAGCCCATATTCCCATCTCTCCCATATTTATTTTCTTTCACCTTGTTTCTGCGGGCCTCTTTTGGTCCGGACTTTTTAAAATTCCGTGTGCACGATTTAAGAAGAGGGAAGATATCTTTACCACCGCGAGGGTGCGAGAGGCATATATTTTTTTCCCCAGAGAGCACACGCTGTGGTAGTTTCCTTTCCCATCCAAGTCGTTAAACCTTGACGCTCCGAGAGGGAGGGCCAGCCGCTTCTCGGGACCTGTTTTCTGCTGGCCGTGACCATCGCACAAACGTGTCTTGTTTTCCAGAGTTCATTGTCCGGCACACTGCAAAGACGAGCCGTCCTACTGGGCTCCCGTGTTTGGAACTAACATCTACGCAGACGTGAGTATGCTGGTGTTTTCCGGGACCACCTCTCGAAGCACGCTAAGCCCTCGGAAATCACGTTCCAAAGTCTGGATGCCAGAAACCCGAGATCTCATTCCTGTGTCTCTAGCTGACTTTAGACCACAGCATTTCTTTCTGCAACCGTTGCCCTAGTTTCCGGTTCATAGCGACTACTTCCGCTCGTGTATGTTCACGAATACAGATGCAGGCGTGCCTCGTCTTACGCACATGTTCTCATAGTTCGGTCGATTGACTCCTGCTTCCCCGTTGATGTGCATTTGTAACGCGCCGGCTTTCCTGTATCACGAACTTCATTTCCGGATATTTAACACCTTTCCGGCTCTCCTGACGCGTTAATAGAACCGGTCCGCTCTCCTCACGGTGTTTCTTTTTGGCTACGTACCCGCCTAGCTAAAAACACCGGAGGAAATACAAATGACACTAATTTACTGCTTGCTGAGGACCACTCTTATCACACCGGAGCCTGTTTGTCTGTATTTCCTTACTGACTTTAGCAAGGAAGCTTCAGCCTGAGTTTTCTTAGCGAATCCTCCAGAACGTAGTCTGTTCCCTCCAGTTGCCCGGGGTTGAGGGACATGGCGTCCCGAGAGATGGGAATGTGGTCACAGCCTTGCCCAACAGGCTGTGTGATTTCTTGCCAAGTTGCTTACCTCTCTGTAGAAGGAGCCAGCTGGGATTTTTCTAGTCCAAGGAATCTTCGAGATCTAAAAATCTCATGATTAGATCAGTGTTGCTTATCCCCGGCTAACATTTTTACTCAACTTTTTTCCATTTTCATTTTAATTGTTCTCTCCCGCCCACGACCATTGTCTTTGCCTCCACCTGCTGATTTGTTCCAGATTTCTGTAAGTGTGAGGTCACTAAGTCCTGTAAAGTCAAACCAACCTTCATGGCTCACCCTTTTTTTTTCCTATCTTTTTGTCCTTTTCTCTTCAAATGAGTTTTTTTTTTTCTTCTCAGAAGCCATTAAGCCCAAACTGAGTTTTGAAAGTTTAATGAAGGAGTAAAATAATGTGTATCAATTGTTACAGTGAATGTTTGAGCCAAAGTCTGCTATTAAAAGACAGACACTTTGGTTTTAAAATGATTGAAAAGTAAAGGGATAGGGCCAAGTGATTCCAGCCAAATGCGGAGAAACAATGAAGCAGGAGTGACAATATTGCTGTCTGATACAGTGGAATTTAAGGTTAAACGTACTGAGTGGGACACCACAATTCATTGCACGGTGGCACAAAAGGTATAATTTATGAAGATCGGATTTATGAGATCAAATCTGTATGCGCCAAACAACATAGCAGCTGAACATATAAAGTTGTTTTTTGAAGGTTAGAACTGCAAGGAGAACTTGATGGAAATTAACACTATAAAGTTATCTTTTGTGGTTTTAGGTTCTTTAAAAACACCATTTCTAAGTATTGGTGTCCCCATCTTACAGGCTTACAGGCTTAGGTGTCCCCATCTTACAGGACAGCTTTAGGCTGTCCCTAAATCACACAGCTGACACAGGCCAAGGTGAGGTGCCACGAAGGTCTTGCTTCAGACTCTGTCCTTTCCCTACTCTCTTGTGCCTTGCTTGAGTGCACCTGCACTCATAATTACACTGATGTGAACAGGCACGTGGGTGAAGAGCCCTATGGAGTGTTTGCCTTGTTCACTAGGTTTTGGAGCTTTTGGAACAACCACAGTGCTCCAAACGGAGCTCGGCACATAAATGATTGTTCGGTGAATGTTTGTTGAAGGAATAAATAAGTGACGGTGTGGCGTTAGTCGATGTTTCAATGTTAAGCTGTTCAGAAACTAAAAGAAGGAAAGAAAAAAGCGGAAAAGAGAGGAACAGGGCGGGGAGACGGGGAGAGGAGGTTGGCCGAGTAAGGAGAGAAGAAAGCAAGCTCCATCCCATTTTAGAGGTTCTTTGTTGGCCTCGGTTTCTAGGTCACTCTGTATTCTGGGAAATGATGATGCCTTTTTGGAAAATGTCTGTTTAGCTAAGAGATTTATTTTGGGAGCGTTGTCTCCAGATCTTCGAAGGGCCTCATAGTGCCGCCGCTTCCGCCTGCTCGCCTCACTTTGTGGTGAGCTGCAGGCAGGAGAGACATCGGGGTGCAGCCCAAAGAGCACAGTCCGGGTCAAGGTGCGAGTTTACGACTCGGTTGTGAGATGGCGGGCAAGCCTTTCCCCCACCCTGGACCTCAGTTTCTTATCTCTTCTCCCCGTCTCCCTCGGTGGCTGGATATGTCCTCACACTTGGGCACGCATGCATCAGAATTCCCCGGAGGGCTTGTGCAAACAGACTTCCGGGCCCTACCCCAGCGTTTCTGACTCCAAATCTGGCCGAGAGCCAGAGAATCTGCATTTTGAGTAAGTTCCCAGATGATGCTGATGCTTCTGGCCTGGGATGACAGCCGCTTTAGAATTTGTGATACTGGTGATGGGGACCGTGACAATTTTGCTGCTTCCATTTGTCTCAACTAACGGACAGCCGTTAGTTCAACCCCACGAGCCCGTAGTAGCTCCACGATAGCCCTTGCAGGCTCTTATAATCCTGTGAAAAGTAGCGTCCCGCTTGCCAGCTCCGAGTGGGTCCCCGCTCTGCTGTTGGCCAGCTGCGGGCTGCTGGGCAAATCGTTTAACCTCCCGGGGCCTCTCGCTGTGAAGAGAGAGTAACACCTCCCACGGAGGATAATTGAGAGACGTCTCCATTTCTGCGTGTGAAACACAACGGGGCCTGTGTGGTGCACGCTCCAAAATGTTACCCACAATGACCCCCACTCGGCTGTCGAGAAGGATCGGGCTGTCGGTGTGAGGTTCTCACATTCCCGGCCGAGGGCTCGATGTTGTCACAACTGGTGTCCTGAAATCAGGGCCCGGGAGGCAAAGGGCTGTCACGGAGGGCACAAAAGCAACGTGCATGGCCTCTTGGGAGCGTTGAGCCTGGAGGACGCGCCTCCGCGGGCTGGGACTGCGGGAGGCGGGATCGGGGCCCCACATCTGGCAACTCGGTCAGCGTAGCGAGCGGGCGGGCCCGCTCTGCCCGGTGGTCAGAACGGTAAGCGTGTTGGTACTCACTCGTGGAGCTCGCCTCTACTGACCGTGCGCTTAGCGGGGCTCTAAACTGATCATTGCGTTTTGGAAGACCCCCCGTCTCTCTCGGAGACAGAGGGAGGCGCACTGGTTCAGAATCCTGGCGGGGCACAAACCCTTCCCGGGAACTGGTGGCTGACGGATCCTTTCCCCAGGAGGGGGATTAAGAAGGCTTCCTTGTGCAGACGGGGCGACCAGCTGTCCTGGCCTCCCTGAGCCCGAGGGGTCTCCCCGCACGGGGCACTAGAATCAAGGACGTTCTTGCTGACCCCAAGGCCCCCAGAGTTCTGCCTGACACTCTGGGCCTCACAGGTCCCCAGGAGCCCACCTCGCCCAGCCTCTTGACGGAGGTAAGACGGGGCCGCGCAGGGCTGCAGCTGCCTTTCAGTAACTCAAGCGACTGAGTCACAGCCCGCACGCGGTCCTGTCCTCCGGGCCTTAGTGTGGGTGTTCGCTCTGGCTCTGGGACCCTCCCCCTTTCGGCCGAGGTATTAGCTTCCCAGGGTGCCGGGCGGCCTCCGCCACCGGGAAGCGACTTTCTTCTGCAAAACCGGCGGCCTCTCTGGAAGGGCCTGGGGTTGGAGGCCGGGGCCCACAGCCTGGAGGGGGCTCGGCAGGTTCGGAACAGGACCGGGTGGCGGCCCCACGTGGGATTTCGAACGGGGGTTTTTCAAACAGCCCTTTTCGATCCACCCACTCACGTCTGGGGTCAGGAACCCGCTGGATGGCGGATTGCTTGTCCCAGGCCAGGGGCACCTCAGCAGACGCTTCCTTTGCCCGTGCTGTGTCTGTGGACTTGACCCCTGCTGACGCGTCTCGTAAAGTACGACCGTGCAGGATTCTTCTTGGCCGCCCTGCCTCTTCGCGGAGGAGGTGCCGGCCCGGTTGGCCAGCAGTCGGGACCCGAGTCGCTTCACGGGTGATTGCTGGGTCCCAGGCACCGTGCAGACAGGGGGCCCTGGGAGGCAGCAAAGGCCAGACCCACCCTCCCGCCGGGTGACAGGCACCTGGCGGTGTTTGCGGAGCTGGGACACGGTCGGCAGCGGCCTCGCCTCCGCTCCCTGCACCGCACGCGATCGCACAACGCACCGGCCCCCTGGCGGCGCTCAACACACACAGGGTCTGCCGGCTAAGCCCCCGTGACGGTCACGGCCACAGGTCACTAGGTCACGAGCGAAGGCAGCACCGGAGTCAGCTCCCTGACCCGTGGACATGGTTTGACTTTCTGTCTCTGAGCGGCTCCGTCAGCCTGGCCGAACGTTCTCAGACGCCCCTGGGGCCGATCTCCCGCTGACTCTCTTTTCTGAAGGCTTGCAGATCCTCACACTTCAGGGGCCTCATCAGTGGAAGCTTTTTTGTTATCAGGGGGCGATTAGAAGCTGCATAACTTCATGGCCTAAAAGCAACACATGCTTACGGGCTGGAGGTCAGGAGCCCGATACTGGTCTCGCCAGGGTCAAGCCACCAGCAGAAATTCCTCCCTTCCGGAAGCTCCAGGGCCGCCTGTGGTTCTTTTGCCTTTCCCACTTTCTAGAGGCCGCCCACGACCCCTGCTTGGGCCGCCGCCTCCTGGCTCTGTCCCTCCTGCCTCCCCTCTCGTGAGGACCTTGTGATGACTGTGGACCCATCGGTAACACAGGCTCGTCTCCGCACAGGGCCCTTAAGTTAGTCACCTCTGCGGGGGCCTTCAGCCACGCGTGAGGTCACGTCCTCACGGGCTCTGGGGATGGGGGTGTGGGCGTCTCTGGAGGCCGTGACCCTGCGGACCCCAGAAGCACAGACGTCGTGCTCCGCCAGGCCTCAGCTGGAATCTCTGCGGAGCCACTAGCTGCCCGCGTGGCCCTGGCCCAGTTCTCGGACCTCCCCAAACCCACACTTCACGGCCTGTGAAACGGGGATAGCGGCGGTTAGGCGTCTCACTGGAAGCGTAAACGAGATAAGAGCCAAAGGTGGTCGGCCAGGGCCTGGGGCATGGTCAGCCCAGAGTCTGTGTTCGCCCTGCTGACCGCGGGGGGAGGGGGGGGGGGCTGTGCGCCCCACAGACGGATCTGGGTACAGGTGGGTGAGGCCCCGGCCACACGTGCGAGCCACCTGACCGGTGTGGAAGATGCTGGGTCTGGGCCTTCCCGGCCTCTTTCTGTTTCTTGGACATGACGAGGTCACGCAAAGGCCCCAGGGCCTTTGCACAAGCTGCTCCCTCTGCCTGGGTGGCTCTGCCCAGAGTTGTTTCCAGGCTGTGGCCGACTCCTTTTTGCCGTCCAAATCTGAGCTCAGGTACCACACCGAGAGCAGTCGAAGCCCTGATTGACTCTCCGAAAAGAGCCCTTCCAAACCCAGCCACTTTGTCTCCCGATCTGGCTTTATTTCCTTCGGAGGCAGAGTTGCTATTTTGCGTATTTGTTACTTGTCGGTCTCCCTCAACTCCCTGAAGGCAGAGTCTTTATTTTCCCTGCGGAACTTTCTGCATCTAGCTCAGTGCCTGGCGTGTAGTAGGTGCTCAGGAAAGACTTGCCGTACGAAGGAACGAATGAATGATGCCGGGTCTCTCCGGAGAGACCCCCGGGGGAATCAAGGAGGCGATGGTTGTTTCTTAGCCGTAACTTGATCAGCGCCCTCCCCCACCCCCAACCAGGCCACCAAGTGCTGGCCGATGGCATTAGGGCCTCACCCACGAGCACGACACTCTCGATGTTGATCGCGGCTCTTCTGTGCTTCCAGACTTCAAGCATCTGTAAGACGGCCGTGCACGCGGGAGTCATCGGGCAGGAGAGCGGGGGTTACGTGGATGTGATGCCGGTGGACAAAAAGAAGGCCTACGTGGGCTCGCTCAGGAACGGAGTGCAGTCTGAAAGGTAGGGGTGCGTCTTCTGGCTCTCGACACCCAAGGCCAGCCAAGGGCATTCCCACCAGAATTCTCTGCCTTTCTGTTTTGAAAACAAGAACTTTTTTCTCTGACGAAAGCTCAGAAGCACCCGGGAGATGCGGTGGGACTTTTTCTGGGCACGGAGGAGCGTGCGTCGTCCCGCGCAGAACAAGTGGGGGCAGATCGTGGTGACGCGGTGGTCCTCTATAGCGAGGTGACAGTATAGTTACTTACGGAAGGAGGAGCCCAGGGTCTGGCATCCAATAGACTAGGCTCTGCCACTCGCCAGCTCTGTGACCGTGAGCCGCCACCCCATTTCCTGGTGCCTCAGTTTCCTCACCCGTGATGGGGGACCAAACTGGTCCTGGCCTCACACGGTTGCTGGAGGATGAATCCAGTGCCCGTCTGAGAGCGACGAGCCCTCGGTAGGTCACGGAGGCCGCTCCCAGTGTCGCTGCGGGCGAGGCCACACGGCTGCATCCGGTGAGCGCACCGTGCCCCCCTTCCCGGTTGGACAGTTCAGCACTTTGCCCAGGGGCTGATCGTCACCGTGGTAAGCAGCCTGGCAGGGGATGTTTGCACCTCCCACGATCGTTTGCTTCAGTTGCTAGAGCAAACGTCAAAGGCTTTGGGTACGCCTTTCCAGAACATTCTTCACGAGGGGTCCCAGCGCCGCTTCGGGCTGCCAGACCGGTTTCTGGCCCATGCCGCTCATTCTCACCTGTGCCCTGCTGTCCGTGGAAGCAAGTCCCAGGCTTCACAGCCCGGGGACCCAGGCCCCAGTCCTGGGGCCTCCTCTTGAGAGCCCCGTGAGCTCACACAAGGCACCAGCCTCTCTCAGACCACCCAGGGGCAGACCCCCGTCAGGGGTGTATTTGTTCTTAGTGCTGCGGGGGGGGGCTCAGAGCACAGACATTTCTATCCTCAAAGTTCAGGAGGCTGGAGGTCCGCGAGCCACATGTGGGTGGGGGGCTTCCTTCTGGGGCCTCTCTCCTGTTGTGTAGACGGCCGACTCTGTGTCCTCACGCAGCCCTCCCTCTGTGCGAATCTGCGTCCTAATCTCTTCTAAGGACGGTCTGATTGGGTCAGGGTCCACCCTCGTGACCTCATTTTTACTTTAGTTGTCCCTTTGAAGACCCTCTCTCCAAATACGGTCACCTTCTGAGACGTTGGGGGTTGGGACTTAAACATAGGAATTGGGGCGGGGGGCACAATTGAGCCCATAACAGAGGGGAATGCTGACATTTTATATTTGAGGGGGCCTTCTTCTTAAAAAAAAAATTTTTTTTAATGTTTATTTTTGAGAGAAAGAAAGACAGCGCAAGCAGGGGAGGGACAGAGAGAGAGGGAGACACAGAATCCGAAGCCGGCTCCAGGCCCCGGGCTGTCGGCACAGAGCCCGACACGGGGCTCGAACCCACAGACCGCGAGATCGTGACCTGAGCCAGAGTCAGATGCTTAACTGACTGAGCCACCCAGGCGCCCAGAGGGGGCCTTCTTTGGAAAAAGAGTATAAAATCTAGAACGTAAAAGTTGCCGGGAACCTTGAAGCCTGGGCTTTCGTGGCTCCAAGGAGCTCGGTGCCCGTGCCGGCCTCCCGGCCTCCCGGCCTGCTGGGGAGTCTCAGCTGTACGTGGAGACGCGGCAGAATCGCATCCAGACCCCCAGGGGCCCCGCGGTAACCCTGCCCTTAGCCCGGAACCGCCAGAGCTAACAGCCTTGGCGTAGTCTTTAGCCTGGGCCACCTTTTTTGGGAAAAGCCTAATGAAGGGAAATTCCATTGGTTTTAATGGGAGGGAAACAAGGCAGCGATTAGGTGGAATTTCCTGGGCAGGCAGGAAAGAAATCCCGGGACACCGCTCTGCTGAGCTATGTTCCCCTCAAAGAGGACACGGTCTCGCTGAGAAGTGCGGTGACCGGCCCGCGTGCCCTCTGCCCGGCTCACCCCCGAGCAGCTCAGCGGCCCCCCGAGGGCGGCCGCAACGGCTTCACGTGCGGCCCCCACAGGTGGGTGTCCGGGGACGGCAGGGGCTGGGACGGGTCCCCAAAGTGGCTTCTTCCCTGCTGTAACCAACCCCACCCCGGGAAACCCGTCATTTTTTCTCTCTTCCTGAGGGACCCGCCAGGGTTGCTGCCGTCATTATAAATACCTTCCAGGCAGCCCTTCCCAGGCCCCGAAGTGCCTCATGGCCGCTGGGCTGTTCAGAAGGTTCTAGTGAGTTTCTAGGCAAATGCAGAGTTGAGATCCTGCTCCCCTTCCTCCTCGGACGCGCTCTTGTGACTCAGTTTCCCCACCTGTAAAGGGGAAGGTGATAGTACCTGCCCCCTGGGGTAGTGGTAAGGCGGGGGGGGGGGAGGTCTCAGACCGGCCCCCCGTCAGACCAGCAGGATCTAAATCAGTGGGGAGCTTGCTGGAAAGGAGGATTCTCGAGCCCGCCCCTCCCACCAGGCCTGCTGAGTCCAAAGCTCCGGGAGTGGGCTGGGCACTCTGTGTGGACACGGCCTCCAGGGGTCCTGGCGCACACGGGACGGTGACGTGAGGCGGCCGGTCGTGTCCCCGGCACACACTGTGCGGGATTCCGATCATTTGTGGTTAAACTTCATTCTTTCGGTGCGTTTTCAATGAGGCGCCAGGACCAGGGCTGGGGTCCCGGGGTCCCGGGGCCCCGGGGCAGCGAGATGACAGGGTCCACCCTGCACGCAGGCAAGAGGCGAGGCCAGGCGGGCACGCGGGGCCCGATGGCGTTTGGGACCCTGCTCCCCCCGCCCGCCAGCTGGGCGTCCTCGGGTGGGCGTCTCCCTGGGCTTCGGTCCCTCCTGTGACCCGCGGTTGTGGGGAGGTTGTGTGTGCCAAGCACTTCCCGGTGGCTCACCGTGAGTGCCCGGTGAAGCCGGTGGCCCTCGTCGCCACGGCAACTTACAAGGTCGTTGCGCACCTCGAGGCGCTGTGGTTCTCACACGCACGCGAGAGCCTCAGTGGACTGTCTTTCAGGACTGGAGGGAGAGCACCACCCAGGAGCCCCTCCTTACCCCCATCTTTCCGGTGTGCCCTCCCCTGTCACTTGGCGAGCCCGCACCGTGTCCCAGGCACCGGGACCCAGCAGGGAGCACACGGCCTGATCTCTGCCCCTGTGGGACTTGTCATCTAGAGGGGGCACAGATGACCAGAGAAATGGCAACAGAAGTAGGGCACCGGGCATCACTATGACGGAGGGAGGCTCGGGGGGCTGGGCACATCCAGCAGGGCCCCGTCTCGCTATCTGGAGGCCCCTCTTCGGTGGCATGGCTCCTTCCAGGGGCCCCCCCCCCCCCCCCCGCCGCCCCTTGTCTCGATGGGACCTCAGCAACCTTCTGCACAGAGCCAGGACTGAGAAGTCTCCGCGGAGCCTGTTCCCATTAGGGACCGTGGGAACCAAGCCTGGGCCGGGAGGGTGGCTCTGTCCCAAACGCCTGCTGGGACCCCAGAGCGGTCACAGTGGGTCCCCAAGGGAGTTGTGGCTGCTGGACCCTCGGGGACCTGTTCACAGCAAACTTCCTTGTAAACGTAGGGAATCCTCCAGAAAAACAAACAAAAGCCTCCTGAACAGAATTCTCAGCACACGGGCCAAAGGTGGTTCTGCTGTAAAGTGAAGTGACTTGGGTTTTAGTGGTGGGTTTTTTTCTTGTTTGTTTTTTTCTAAAAGAGGATTTCCTGAAAGTTTTGAAAGAGGTGTCTGTAGAACCGGGACATCGTAAGAGGACAGGCATCTTCGGTCTCGACACACGTGTCCGTGAAGGATAGTGGAGGAAAGAAAAGGTTATCAGGAAGAGCTTTTGACGTTAGAACTGGGCTTTGCCCGAACGTTCGCGGAAAGAAGCTGGACATCTGCGTGAATATCCGTTCAGGAGTTTTTCCTAGACCGGGACCATTTTGAAAAGGCAGGTTTCACAAGGAGAGATTGGGAAATGCACCAACAATGACAGATAATGTTCTTGGTCACTTGTTGTCAACAGACACGACCCGTGTGTACCTGTGGCATCTGTGTGGACGGACCTGCATCCAAAGGTAGACAGTCCGTGTAGCAGCTTTTGTGGGCCGGGCACCGTCCTCCCGGGGCCCATCTGGCACGCTCTTCAGGCCACACGGGTTCTAAAGTTTCTAGTAGACGCAGTAAAAAGGAACAGGAGGAGATATTTAGGACATGTGGGATTTAAGCTGGGATGTCAAAATATTAGCGTGTATAATAGGAAGTTACGAAAGAATATGCATTCTCTTTTTCAAATAAGACCTTGGGGTCCACTGCGTATTGCACACATAGAGCACCCCCCCCCCCAGTTCGGGCGAGCCACAGGTGCTCCGTGGCCACCGTGACTGGCGGCTGCCATATTGGGCACCCCGGCTCTGGACTCTCAAGGGTTGGGCGTCTGAAAATCTCTCCGTGCGCGCAGAAGCTGAGCCGGAACCACGAAGCTGTTGCTTCCAGATGGGATGAGCTCTGCCCTCTCCCCCACCCAGCTTGGGCCAAGGCCGGGCGCCGGGCTCCCTCTGCTCGCAAACCGGTGGGTTTTCCCCTCCCACCTTCTAAGGTCTATACACACATTGGCACACCTGATTCCCCCAAGAGCCCCACGATGGGGGGAGCCCCAGGAATCCTCACTTTATCAGTAAAGAAAGGGAGGCACAGAGAGGTTAAGTGATTCGTGCGAGGTGCGCCGGAACCACGACTCGAACCCAGGCCGCCTCCCCCAGCGCCCACGCTCTTTACTAGTACGCGTGACGCCCCACTGTAGACAGGAGGGGCCGGGTGAGCCTTTAGTGCCCGGGTACGCTTGTTTGTAACTTTAAAAGTACTTATTAGAAAAGAAGTACATACTTATTTAAATAAGAAGTCTAGGGAGTAGGAAATAGGTTAACCTCTGTGAATTGCCCCTTCATAGCCTCTCAGGGCATCCTGCCCCTCCCCCAGCCGCCCCCCCATACAGACAACGCACATGAAAATCAAAATGAAG